GGAGTAGTCACTGGTTGACTAGGCAAAGAGCCTCCAATTCGTTATTCGTGGGAGGATCCGCCATGGAAGGATTGGCCTCAGCGGTGAGGAAGAAGTCTTGAAGATTTTCTTATTGCATGCAGCTAGTGGCCTCCCTGTTGGTTCTACATCCGTGGGGGATTCATCTGGCTTCTGCTCATATTGCGAGTTGAGACCATCAGTTACTGAAAGATCAGTGTTTTTATAGCAGGAACAATCGTTCCCACAGACGGCGTCAAACTGGTGGTGTTAGTTACGTGGATGAACAGAATATATGAATTATGCAAGTAAGTTTGGATCTGAGCTACTAGATTCATGAGGATTATTGTAAGGTTCTTGGGGAATTGGGATGATTTGCACAATAATATTATAGTGGTTCACCAACTTGGGAGTTCAGCTAATCCACTTTTCAATGGAGTCTCATGCTCCTTGGATCTATATTGATGCTCATTATGATTTACAGAGTGTTTCTGTTACAGCTAGGATTTCTCGCCCCACTGTACAGCTTTTATAGTCCCATTCCTAACTCCGAGGGATCTGGGGCGAGATCTTCGTCTCTTTCCCATGGTGTCTTGCTTAATTTTAGGAGACGGTTAAGGATTTTGTGCCTAGATTTGGGCTTATTGCCGTTGAGAGGATGCCTCGCGATTGCCAACTGTTTTCCACACGTTATCTTCGGAGTGCAGACCGAGGGGGTCTCAGATCTGACTTGTCGAGCTCTAGATCTAATGGCCGAGCTCCCTGTCTAACCTTTGCACCCGAGCTCATACTTAGAATTTATTCTAGGTATCATCATGTATAATTAGTGAATAATTGTGTATATGTGACATTTATACTACAATTATATACGAGTTCAAAATACAAGTGATTACAAATCTCTGTTATTTAAAAAGAAAAAGAAATGATTTAAAGCAGAAGGCTAACAACCAATGCTGGGCAAAACTTGCTTTTATCCAATCAATGTTGCTTGTATCTCGGGTAATCTACGTTTTTTTTCATATATGTGATGAGTTATTTTCGTTAAAAATAAAATTTAAATAAGTTATTGTAATTAAAAGATTAAAAATATTAAAATATAAGTTGTTGTGGTTAAATAGTTAAAATTTAAATGAATTACTCTATTTAAAATATTTAAAAGGTAAAATTTATCCGATAATGTTATTTTAGATGTCGCCTTTTTTTTTTTTGGCAATTAGTTTTCAAATGTCTTTTGATTTTTACTGTTGTGGTTACAGCACCATTTGTTTCCCAAGAATACTAATTTTACCATGATTTTTGTCATTATGATTTATGTTTTCACTGGGTTGTGAGATTATCATCACCCTCTTAAAGTAATTAGTCACTACTAGTAAGACTTAAAATACTTAGTTAAATCCCCAGGAAACACATAAGATGATTGGATGGTTGAGAATTAGGAAATAATTTAAAGTTGGAGAGGAGCATCATTCAATTGTAAGACACATGGTTTGATCACCAACATTCAATTGTTACACTACTAGTANTTAAAGTTGGAGAGGAGCATCATTCAATTGTAAGACACATGGTTTGATCACCAACAAGTCAAGACCCGATGGCCAAAGAGAAAGTCTAAGTCTTTGTTTGCAAGACTATCAGGAAGGCCGCAGATCTTTTACCCCTTATTATTTGCCCCACTTTCCCTGTTACTCACATAATAATTCACTAAATTATAGGTCCAGTCGCAATAAATATGGTAAGTGTAGAAATAGATAGATTGTGAATTAGTCTTAGCTAATCACTATATAATTTAGAAATCCTGGAAACCTTATAGAGAGATAAGTATATCATGCTCAAAGAAATAAGATTGCATTTTCAAAAACACTCTCTCCCTTTTATTGAAGTCTTGGGGATAGAATTTTTTTGCTAGCTTTCACATGTCGTCAATGCTAAAGGGCTTCCACCATCCAATGCTGAGATATTTTATGAACTTGGAAGCTAGTTTATCAACTTTCTGGCCATGAAGAGAAGTTTCTTGAGATATTTAGTCTTAAAGGTAGACTAATCAAACACTGTAGTCCATTTGCAGGAAACAAACAAGTCTCTGCACCTTGATATACCAGTACCTGACATTCCATTTAGTGACAAGAGTTTCTTGGCCTTTTTTATCACGAACTGAGTGCTTAACAACATGAACAATGGACAAGCTGATATCAGAGCACGTATAAACCTAGATAAGTATATCCACACCCCCCGAATTAGTCACCTTTAATAAACAGATATGATTAAGACTATGATATCAAAGAGTTAATTGTTCGTACTGTATCAAAAATTACTACTAAATACGACGGATATTAAAACTCCTCACGGTGAGGTTATTGCAAAATGGGGATGTTTGGGATCAATTCTNAAACTACACCCCCCCCCCCCCCCCTCTCAAATCCTCCCTCTTACACAAAGCTCTCTCTCACACACACACACAGTTTTGGATGAAAAACTGCTAAGGGACGGCAGTTCTCTCTCTCTCTCTCTAGGCCATCTTTAAGCATAGTTCTCTCTCTTGTTGTCACAATGCAAAGGAGATTCAGGCAAATCTTCACATCAGTAAAAGAGCACACAAGCGTTAGCTGTGCAAAGATTGCCACCATCGGAGGGTTCTGCGACCTTGATCTTGTGATCGTGAAAGTTACGTGTAACGACAAAATTTGATATAAATTAACACAAAATAAGGTCAAATTACAATAGTCAATTTAATTGACTTTAAGTAAAAAAATGTATTATTGACTCTCTTTAGCGTGCTTCTCATGTGCACTATCTTCTAATTCTTGATGAATTTGGTGAAGATGAGGGCCTAATTAACGTATTTCTCGCTCTTCAATTGGTGGTTTTGATAAAAACGAGAGTTTGATCAATATATTTCTCACTCTTCAATTTGATGATGTTTTTGATGAATCTCCTCACCATTCGTTTGGAATGGCTTGAACATGATTTGGATTTCTTGAAGAAAGACTTTAGCGGTGTGTTCTTCTTCCCGGAGATGAATTTGCAAGGCTTTAAGGTTTTAGTGAACTTTGAGTAGAGTTTCGCTGATCTTCTTTCCTCCTTGGCTTCCTCTCCTTTTTTCCTCACCTAGACCTCTATTTATAGTGTCAGGAGTAGTTATTCGTATAAGAGTCCTTATTAATCTTATATGGGTTTTAGGTAGTGAGCTACCCATAATTAATAAGAAATTTGGAAGACAGTCCCCCTATATGGACTTGTTTAGACTTAAATTCGTCAAGAAAATTTATTTGTTATGAAGTTCATTTTTTATCAATTTTATCATATTATCTCTTCCCTTTACAAATGAAATAAAAATAAAAATTAAAAACTTCTAAATCTTAGGAGCTTAACTAACATTAAAATCTTTACTCTCTCATATCTCTATATTCATATATATATAGATAATTTATCATTTGAACACAAAAAATAATAAATTTAAATACAAAAAAATAATAACATTTAAACATAAAAAAAATTGAAACATTCAATATTAATATTTTTAAAAAATAACAACAATAACATGTTCAACAAAAATATTAACATGTTCAACAAAAATAGTAACATGCTTAACAAAAACTGTAACATACTTAACAATAATTATTTTTTTCAAATTCAAATGCAAAAAATAATATCATTCAAACACAAAAAATAGTAATATTCAAAAAAAAATAGTAACATTAAAAATTAATATTTAAGAAAATAATAGTAGTAACATGCTCAACAAAAATAGTAACATACTCAAAAATAATAGTACATGAAGAATAACATACTCAATAAAAACAGTAACATGAATAGTAACATAATAAAAAAAATATTAACATAAATTTGAATTTTACTATTCAAATTCATAGTAACTTTTTTTTGTTTTTGAATGTTACTATTTTTTTTAATGTTACTATATATATATATATAAACGCCTAACTTATATATGAATATAGATAAATAAGATAGAGAAAAAATTTTAATGTTAGTCACACTTTTAACCTATATATGGATATAGATAGATATGAGAGAGAAAAGATTAAATTCTTTTCAAGAAAGGGTATTTTTGAGATAGAAAAAAAAAAGTTGACTTAAGTCATTACATAAAATTTTATAAATAGACTTAACCTCTTATAAGTTTTCTTGTAGGACTTATCTCCAAACAAATACATATAGAATGACTCACTTTCAATTTTTACTTAATTAATTTATGAAATTTAAGTCTAACACATTTTACCTTTTGAAAATTTATTTAATTTAGACCTATGAAATTTAAGTCCATTTGAATTTAACAAATCTGATTAATTACATTTGGGCTTATATTATTTAGGTTATTAAATTTATGTTTAATCCAATTTTATTTTTCTAATTGAGTTTAGACTTTTATTTATTAATTTTTAATGCCGGACGACTTACCCTTGCGGGACCCCTACGTTCATGAGCTCTTGAAAATCTGCTCCATTTCTCCTGGTTCATTCCGGGCCTTTGCCTTAAAGCTTCACCCGCCGGTTTAGCAAGACACAGTGCTGGCGAGTTGGACTNCCCCCCCTCCCCTTTTTTTTTCTCTCCCTCTTCTTTTTTTCTCTTTTTCCTTCCCCCAAAATAGAAGGTAACAAAGAAACAAACAAACCAGCAGAAGCCAACTACCCCTCCAAACTGACATGACGAGAAATGAGATTAAACATAATTTAGTAAGGCAGTGATAAGTTTTCTGCAAGTAGATATGCAACAGACTAAGGAAGAGAATGTGAAATAACAAACTTTAGTTAATGAATAATGCAAATAGAAACATTNAAAGAAACAAACCAGCAGAAGCCAACTACCCCTCCAAACTGACATAACGAGAAATGAGATTAAACATAAATTAGTAAGGCAGTGATAAGTTTTCTGCAAGTAGATATGCAACAGACTGAGGAAGAGAATGTGAAATAACAAACTTTAGTTAATGAATAATGCAAATAGAAACATTTAATATTGCATTCGTTAAACAATATCAAGGATACTGGTCAGTGTCGCGATGGGTCATCTTGCTGGCTGCTTCTTTGCCATGCATCCTCAGAGCTGGCTCCTCCAAGTAACCCGGACGTGAGACCATTGCCCCCTTTCGGTCACCTCTTTCTCTTCCGTCATATGATTGAGGGATACCACTTGAAAGAGGAGGTGGGGGAGGGGCTACTGGTGAATATTCACCAGGTTCAGATGGCAGATGCTCTCTTTTGAGCTTACGCCTCTTAGAGGCCACACTTGCATCCATATCCTCCTTCAAAAGGTTTGCTTTCTCCCTCTCCCTTTCTCTGTCCCGATCCTCCACCTACATCAGTCAGAAAATAAAAGCGACCTCCATCATGTTTTACATAATGTGAGATAGGTAAGAGGTCCTGTTAACGTCAAATTTAGCACTTCTTTCAGTTAAGTAAAAACTGGGATCAACCAAAACAAATTCTTTTTATTCCTACTGGTAGCCTTTGTCATAAGGCCATGTCTATTTCCAGACTCAGCAACCAAGGACAAAACTAAATATCATATTGCAACATAAGGTGTAGATAATCTAAATTATTCAGGAAGTAAAAAACTCCACGTACATAGTACATTAGCAATTCCCTTCATGAGGAATGTACTATGTGGGCAATGAGAACTAACCACACATAAGCCAGGCACATGATGAGAAAACCATCAGACAAACTGCAAACTCCAGTATACATAGAGTAGCTGCTTTATTTCCCTCATGGTATTCAGAAAATAATCTTTGTTATAAACCCTACATTATACCCCTTCATTTCTTGAAACATCTCAAGCTTCAACCCCAATCCGTGATTTATGATGTTATAGCATTCCCACCGGTTGAATATCACATTAGACTCATTACCTTTCATTTATTTTTCCTTCTCTGGCAATATGGATTCATTAATAAGTCATGTTTCAGAAAAAAAAGATTAAAGGGGATACATCACCACAGAATTCACAATTTACTACCACCACTTCATCTTCATAGAACTCACAAACACTTAACATATCAAGTCGTCGTCCAAATTACAAGTAGACAGGCATGAACTAAACTGACATTTTAGAATTCATCGAATAAGCATTCCATGGAGCTAATCACCAAGAAGACAAAAAGAATGAAAAAAAGCCAAATTAAGAGAGTAATAACTCAAGTCTCTACGACATGCTTTAAATTGGAAGCTTAAAAAATGGGAGCACACTAGTAGCAGTACTGGAACCTCAACCCATAGCTGACTGTACCCCTCTCTTAGGACCCACTTCTTTCCAAGAAATCGTCACAGACGCAAAACAAAAGAGTGATCAACCTATTGACACCATTGAACTATAATTCTTTCATCAAGCTTTGTGGCCGAATTCATTTGGCTAATACATTATGAGCATAACTTGCCCATTATTAAACAGCTAAAAATCAACTCTTAGAAACAATCAGAAAAGAAATTAAGCATGTGGGCCTAGTGGTAAATCAAGGATCTATTTGATGAGAAACAACAAAGTCATGTCTGTAGCAGCAAGTTCCAAACATAAACTACCAAAATGCTTATAAAATGTCTAAGCTATTGTAACATCACACACAGGTACAACAAAAACATNAATACCCTTTCATAGAACGGATACCGGAGATTCAGATTCGAGCTCTCGGAACTTTTCTCAGTGGGATGTGGCAGTTAACAGAGTCATCTTCTTCAACCACATCTCCTTTAACATCAACAATACAATCTTCATTGAGTTTAACAGAAGATGACAATGAAAAACAACTGATCAAATTCTCGAAAGTCGAAGAACATGGTGCTCTCAAGAAATTGGAGGAAGATGAAGAAATGAGCCATTGATACAGTCGGAAGCCGACAATAATGTTTGTAGGGAGGGGCCTTTTAGAAGCTTCAAGCAGTTCATCATGCATAGCTCCAAGAAACAGCCATGAATAGTGTGTGTGGCCTTCTACATATTAGAGCAACAAGATAGAAGTACAGAGTCGTCCAACGAGTTTAAATCTGAAAATAGTTTGCTGAAAATAAGAATTATAAACTACCCACCACCACGCCTTTCAAAAATCCCTTAGGTGGGAACCTTGATGGTATTTTCTTCCAAGTAATTTACTTTGTAATTTTGTTCTTGTTTACCATTATCTAATGAGGACCTTTATCTTTGTATAGGTACATTAACCCTTTCCATTTCCCTTTAGCTTTGCATTGTTTACAGACACCTTTCATTTGTGTGGGATTGGAAACAAATGTCTCGCAATTTAGTATCGTTTTAACCCCAACAATCTTCGTATATTTTGTTAGGTTGAATGACTCCTATACAATTCACCATTCTACGTGTAATTTATCCCAACCTGGCTTCTTGGGATCCGACAACCTACCTTACACTATTGGGCTTCGTTTAGAGAGTCACAGATCATATTGATCCATTGAACGCAATCTTGAAATCCTTACATAGCAATTAAAACTTCGGATGAGCAGGAAATCTCATGCCTAGTCTTTTTACTTCAACATTCAACCCTGCATATGGGACAATGCTTCTCAATTCATCTCCCAACCCTGCCATATTGAATACCCCTTGTAAAAGTTACAACTGGTGGATCCCAAGGTTATTCGACAGATGCACCAAATATAAACAACCTCGTGATAAATAGACCGATACCTTTACCACCACACAAATACTACCTAGTATTATGAAAACTCATATTAAATCGATTCGATCCATAGGCAAGAACAATGGAAATATAGACAACCCGGTAATTGCTCTCCAAAAATCTGAACTAATAGCATGTGATTTTGGCTACATGACTTTCTGCAACCCCTCATAAGAGGGCAAACGAACTAACCAATTAAGCAACACCACCTCAATATTTTCCCCTGGACATTTCTCGTCAAAAAAGTGTAATTCATAAGTAATTAAACTTACAGAAGAGCACAGACATGCTCATAATTTACATGTAATACTATACGTAGGGCAGAAAAAAAAAATTGTCAATAAACAGCCATCGACTGCCTCTTTAGGATGAACTCGTAATCAATGGAGTATTGCAAAATCACAAAGCTAAGACCCCATAGTGGGCCACATTTAATCATCCAATACAATAACAAAGACGGAACAAGCATCTGGTTATAACCTCGGAAAGTTTTGCGATCCATGCTGCAGTTGAAAAGAAAAAAACATCAAGTTTCCTCATTGGAGACTATTTCCGGTGCCGCCTCTTTGGTTCAGCTCTCTGTCTCTTTTCGTCTTCCCACTCTCTATCATACAATATAAATTATGCAGTTAAGGAGTCGGCNTCATCACGCTTTCTATCTCGAAAATCTTCTTCTCTTCTACGTTTTGCATCATCTGATGAAATTAAAGTATTCTCTTCAGATCGTCTTCGTTCTCTCTCTTCATGTCTTGGAGAAAGTCTTTGAGCATGTCTGGCATTTCCAAACCTTCTATCAGCATCTTCATCTCTTCTAGCAGCATTAACTGATTGTGGAACCAAGTGTGGAGGTAAGGGTGGTGGTGGAGGCAAGCTTTGCCCATGAAATCGGTCATCAACATGAGACTTTTCTCCAGCTGCTTCGCTATAACGTAATTTACCTCTATCATCCTTGTTCCTTTCATCCTTCGGCTTTTCAATAACCCTATCAAAGCTTCTATCAACACCTCTCTCTTGCAGTCTTTCAACTGAACGTTCTCTTCCATATCTTTCAATTGACCTATCTCTTGGTTTTTCAGATAAGACATCGTCCCCACGTGACTTATCAGGACGTTCCACTCTTTCCCTATAGTCCCTGTCATATCTGTCACTGCCTTTATCTTTTAACCTATCCAAAGTCTTATCCGTAGCCCTATTGCTAATTTGCTCATTAGATCCGGGCTTGTCAAGATCCACAGGATGAAGTTTGTCTACTACACGAAGATCAATCGACTTCTCTCTATCCGAGAATCGATTTTCTCCATCTAAATCTTTTGTATCAACTTCTGCTTTACGACGTTTATTTAGCCTGTCTAGTTCGTCAGCAGGACTGGCCCTTTTTTGCAGTTTATCACCTGGCTTTGTAGCATTGACGGAGTGGTCATGCCTTGGGGAATGAACTGGTCGAGAAGAGGACTGCTTGGGCGCATCAGAAACTTCATTGCCGTCATCTTTTACGGCAGAAACCCTCAAATCAGAAGATTTTGCAGCTCCACTCTCTGCCTTCAGGTCACTACTGCCATGGGCATCTGAAGATCTAGTAGAAGAAGATAAGCCTTTGCCTGAAATTGCAAGTGTGTTCCCATTTCCTAAAACTGCAGAAGAAGGACCACCTTGCCTGCCCTCAGCTTTTCCAGATTTACTATCATCTTTTACAACTTCCTGCTTTGGTTGCTTTGAAAGAGATCCAACAGGCACAGACCGTTTTCCTGCAGCTCTTCCCTGTCAACAAAAGAAATTGAAGGAAGTTCAACTTAACAACAATCACTACCAAAAATCACTGTCCAAAATCTCTGCTGCCGACTCATAAATGATGACAATTAAGAGTAAAATCATGTAGCAGCAGTTTCAGTGATCATGTTATTTTGCAGAAGAGATGCCAAATTATCAGCATGCCATCAACAAAGGTGAGCAACAACAGAGAAATTGTGTTCAAATGAAGGCTGCATGCTCACAGACAAATCCAGGTAGAGGAAACAAGTATAAACATGAACAATTATTAACAAACAGCAATGTGCAAGCTCAAAACAATATTTTCAAAATCAGAATCAGTGATCATCAACAGTACAACAGATCCTACTTCTACACCTCCCGCAGACAATGTGATTTCAAGGATGAATAGAAAGCCGTGTAGAGCTGCATTATGACAAATGCAAGGTTATTTAAAGTACCCTCCAAGTGTAGTTGGTCAATAGTTTTATCACTTATCAATAGATGTCAATGATGTAAGTGCGGTAAGCCCCATTAAACAATAGCAGGGAGAGAGAGAGAGAGAGAGAGAGAGATCTCAAGTTTCTGCTATTTTTGGCGATTTCAAAGGAACCTGCTCCAGTGCTGAACCCCCCATCTCCACTATCAGTTGATGAAAGAAATTGCTTAGAGGTCAAGATGCCATTTTTCATATGACAAATATGCTATATGAACCTTCAAATAAGGTATGGGTGGTAATGATGTTGTGTCGGTCATNTTATCAGTTGATGAAAGAAATTGCTTAGAGGTCAAGATGCCATTTTTCATATGACAGATATGCTATATGAACCTTCAAATAAGGTATGGGTGGTAATGATGTTGTGTCGGTCATGTTCATGTTGTGTCAATTTAAGGGTTCATGTTGAGCACTAGTCAACCCTAATCCAAACCTTCCAACTAATCATATTGTGTCAACCCGACTTGTTTATTTTCATGTTGTGTTCGTGTTGACTCATATAGCCCTTGAATCANGAGCACTAGTCAACCCTAATCCAAACCTTCCAACTAATCATATTGTGTCGACCCGACTTGTTTATTTTCATGTTGTGTTCGTGTTGACTCATATAGCCCTTGAATCAAAATTTTAACACTAAGATTTAAATCTAAGATTTCATTGTCTCTTAATCGAACTCATGCTCATAGTTTTTCTATAAACAAAAAATTAACTTATTAAATATAAGTACAAAATCCTTTTATTGTACAAGGATTAAAAATAACAAAAATCGGGCATTTTATTCCTACAATACTAGTTAAACGTGTCAATTTTATGATAAAGTGTTTGACACTAACTCCACCCATTTATTATTCATATTAACCCGTTTAATTATTTACGAGTTCATGTTGAGAAATGGTCAACTCTAACCCACTAATTTTGTGTTGGTTGAGTCATGTTTACGTGACGTGTCTAAAATTCCCATCCTTAAAATAAGGTGACAAAAACACCAAAATGCAAAGTTTCCAAAAATTCATTTTAGAGTCCAAATATCATCTTAACCAAATCAGATGATACCTCACCTCATGTTCTGCAGATGTCTTGGCAGCAACTTTTGTGGTGTTCTCTTCTAATGTTCTATTTGCAGGTTCATCCATTTGTTTAGGATTATCTACTGATCTGGATGTCCCAGGTTGTACAGAACCAGAAAGCATGGATGACTGGGTATCCGAACCATTGACTAATGAGTCACCTTTCACTTTTACAAGACCTGGATCGGATTTCAGCAAAGCACTTTCCGTTCTTTCTAGCCTCCCATCAGCAGGTTTTGTTCTCAATATCTGATCTTTGGCAGAATTCCCAGCATCCGAAGGCTGGGTTCCTGTGGCAACCGTTCTTCCCCCACCAGATTCACCTTGAGAAACATTGAGGCCAGAACCATTTTGTACCGAAACAAAATTACTAGTTGAAGATTTTGAAGGAAGCACTGGTGCAGGCTTTATTTCAAGATAACCCATACCAAATTCTTCTTCTGTTACCCATGAAGCCTGCAAATATGAAATAAAAAAGATCACATATTACCCAACAAACACATGACAATGGATTTATTTGGGAAAGGACGTGGAAATGTATTGCTTTTTAGCAATACTTCTGTGAATCTAAAGTCACAATACAAGTCAGTTAACATTGAGGATTATTTTCTTAAATATTGGTACAAGAATTTCCCTTCTTCCTCCCTCCTATTTTTATTTTCCATTTTAGGGGAGCTTTTTTATTTCTTTCTTTATTTGGTGAGTTTTTGTTTTTTTGTTTGTGTGTGTGTGTGTGGGGGGGGGAATACCCTGGAGTGTTATCATGTATTTTACCTTTCTAGCAACCAAGGCAGCAGCAACACCAGTAGCCAACACCTTGAGGTCCTCTCTTTCATCACTTTTGATTTTAGCTACCTGTACAAATGGAAAAACAAGGTAAGAAATTAGATAATCACTTGACCAAAGAAGATAAATGCCCATGTAAGCACATGCAAAATCCAACCATTCTTACCCGTTTTTCAAGGTTGATTCCACTCTTTCGAGTAACAGGAAAGACATTCGAGATTTTTGTCAACATAATAAGAGAATTTCGAATTTCCATGTACTCAGTTGATTCCAAGCACTGAATCAGTAATCTTGTGATCCTTTGACTCCATTTCCAGTGTACCTTTCAGCATACAATGAAGGACTGAATATAAGCACACTACCAGGAATGATTAATAGCATAATTAAAAAAATAATTAATTAGGTATCCTGGTTACAGGAGCACCAATTGAAGCAAACTGAAAAACGATTACACCTAATAATATCTAAACCAGTGAGTGGAATTACCATTGAAGGGTGTTCATATTTTTTTGCTGTCACAACCATTCTCATCCGGGGCAAAGCCTTGAGGAGCATATGAAGTGAAAAATAATTTGTGCTGGAAAATTGTGTCAGTATGGCTGGGTGTGCATATGCATGTGCATTTAAAGTGTTTTTGAGGAACAACCTAAGAAGCACAGGCACGGATACGAGACACAGACATGGTATTTCTCAAAAAAATAGGACACGGATACGTTGGGATACACTATAGATAATTGTGTTTTATATATAAAATTATATAATTTATCACAAAGATAATGATAATGATATATTATTCATAAAAAAATTAGTACCGTATGTATGAGTAAATATTATATCTAAGTCATCTAGTGTGAATTTTTAGACTAGCATCATAATAGTTAATAATCATCAATTTTTCCATAGACGTCTACCAAACATTTAAATGATTGCTCTCATTTTTTCAATTGCTCTTTTCTAAATCTTCTATATATCTTTTGGTTTTATTTTTATATTTTGAATACAACTTTAACATATCCGGTCTTGATAATTATATGTTCTTTCATAGAATAAGATACTTATTAATCAATTTTTTTAGTTTTGTTAATCACATGTCAACACATGTTCATTATTTAGTAGTAGACACGGATTAGGGAAGTATCGGACACGCCATCAAAGAAGTGTTGGACACATGTCCGAAATAAAATTTATATCATTTAATTATTGACACAAATAAAAAGGTATTGGACACATGTCCAAAGAGTGTCGGTGTCCAATACGTATTCAACACAGATACGTCACTTTTTTTAAGTGTCCGTGCTTCATAGAGAATATCTGCACAAAATTAAAATACACTGAGATCAACCTGATGCAACAATTACAATTACAGTTCATTGCTCATGTGGCAAGCTAGTAATATTTATGTTGGTTGAAAGCAAAATCCAGATTCTGTAACACAAACCTTCTATAAGGGACTATCCTCAACACCAAATGAAGTTCTCATGTGGAACTTAAAAGCCTTCGGGTTGCATTAAACCATCAACAATCCAAGAATAGAGGCAAGCGTATTCAACNTGATTCCACTCTTTCGAGTAACAGGAAAGACATTCGAGATTTTTGTCAACATAATAAGAGAATTTCGAATTTCCATGTACTCAGTTGATTCCAAGCACTGAATCAGTAATCTTGTGATCCTTTGACTCCATTTCCAGTGTACCTTTCAGCATACAATGAAGGACTGAATATAAGCACACTACCAGGAATGATTAATAGCATAATTAAAAAAATAATTAATTAGGTATCCTGGTTACAGGAGCACCAATTGAAGCAAACTGAAAAACAATTACACCTAATAATATCTAAACCAGTGAGTGGAATTACCATTGAAGGGTGTTCATATTTTTTTGCTGTCACAAGCATTCTCATCCGGGGTAAAGCCTTGAGGAGCATATGAAGTGAAAAATAATTTGTGCTGGAAAATTGTGTCAGTATGGCTGGGTGTGCATATGCATGTGCATTTAAAGTGTTTTTGAGGAACAACCTAAGAAGCACAGGCACGGATACGAGACACAGACATGGTATTTCTCAAAAAAATAGGACACGGATACGTTGGGATACACTATAGATAATTGTGTTTTATATATAAAATTATATAATTTATCACAAAGATAATGATAATGATATATTATTCATAAAAAAATTAGTACCGTATGTATGAGTAAATATTATATCTAAGTCATCTAGTGTGAATTTTTAGACTAGCATCATAATAGTTAATAATCATCAATTTTTCCATAGACGTCTACCAAACATTTAAATGATTGCTCTCATTTTTTCAATTGCTCTTTTCTAAATCTTCTATATATCTTTTGGTTTTATTTTTATATTTTGAATACAACTTTAACATATCCGGTCTTGATAATTATATGTTCTTTCATAGAATAAGATACTTATTAATCAATTTTTTTAGTTTTGTTAATCACATGTCAACACATGTTCATTATTTAGTAGTAGACACGGATTAGGGAAGTATCGGACACGCCATCAAAGAAGTGTTGGACACATGTCCGAAATAAAAATTATATCATTTAATTATTGACACAAATAAAAAGGTATTGGACACATGTCCAAAGAGTNGTTCATTATTTAGTAGTAGACACGGATTAGGGAAGTATCGGACACGCCATCAAAGAAGTGTTGGACACATGTCCGAAATAAAATTTATATCATTTAATTATTGACACAAATAAAAAGGTATTGGACACATGTCCAAAGAGTGTCGGTGTCCAATACGTATTCAACACAGATACGTCACTTTTTTTAAGTGTCCGTGCTTCATAGAGAATATCTGCACAAAATTAAAATACACTGAGATCAACCTGATGCAACAATTACAATTACAGTTCATTGCTCATGTGGCAAGCTAGTAATATTTATGTTGGTTGAAAGCAAAATCCAGATTCTGTAACACAAACCTTCTATAAGGGACTATCCTCAACACCAAATGAAGTTCTCATGTGGAACTTAAAAGCCTTCGGGTTGCATTAAACCATCAACAATCCAAGAATAGAGGCAAGCGTATTCAACGTTCTTTTTGATCTCTTTTTCATAAATAAAAAGGAAAGAAAACCTAAAACAACAAAGATCTAAGCAAAAGTTCTCTAGGGAGCAAGACCTGAAGTATATGCTTGGCAAAGAGCAGGACAACAACGTTTGTGGAGGCGCTACCAATGGACAAAAACAATTGTGCCATGAGATTGGGAACAATATTTGGATGGGCATGTGTAAGATATATGATTCCATTACCTTTAGATTCACAAATAAGTATAATTTCCCATAATCAGATGCCTTTTGAGAAATTACGGATTCAGTCTTGTTTTGACTTAGAAAGTTCTTTATCTAATAACAATTCCCATGTTAAATGGTTTCTATTTTGTGCTGCTACTGATTCTCTTATATAATAAGATTGCCTCACAGATTTTGTGGAATGTTAGTGGTAAGATCCATTCAATTATGCTTTCTGCGACTCCTAGAAGACCTTAGTAAGACTCAAATATACATTAGTCAATAATTGTTATGTGTGAACAAAGAGTAGGAACCATGGGACATGAGTTTACAATGGAATTATCATGTGATACATCAAATCACGGATGCCAACCATATTGGGGATAGTCAATAATAAATCTAATTTTACACATTGAAATCATTCCCTCACCTTTCAAAGAGGTAAAAGAGTACATGGTAACCACATAATTGCTTCATACTCATAAGCACCAAAAACTTAATAACCACCTTGAAAAAAATTAGTTTGGCATCAATCAAAAGAATACAGAATATTTGGCAGTTGAAGGTTGTTTTAATTTGAAGATGTCTTGTAACAATTTTCACTCTATTCTGGTGTAAAAAAAAATTGAACAGTGCCAATCTAACTGTTCTTTGGAGAAGAAGATGCACATATGTAGTTATAACTATCTAAGACAGCATGAATGTTCAAGGATTCAATACAACCAAAAAACCCACGAAATATTGATTAATATACAGAGCAATAAAAACAAGAAGAACAAGCAGCAATAGACAAATGTCTTTTGGGTTCTCAAGTTTTGCTGGGAAAATGACCCAAAGAGCTGCTGAGATGAACTTTTGAGTTGAATATCGCATATTTAGCAATCAAGATGTCCTTGAACTCACCTTAATAAACTGGCTATACGTAACACGCTGGCTATTTGGATATCTGTAATAAACAGCAAACCCTGGCATGTTTCCACACTCGCGTTCGTATATTGATTCGTCACTCTACACATAAAACAATTGTCCACATAAATATCACACTAGAAAACCATGAAAGCAATCAAACGCTTATTAATGCCATCACAAACTTAAGACTCAAGAATGTAACACAACTAAAATTTGTTTTGAGATTAATTAACAAACAGAATACAAGACACAGTTACCTTCCAATAATAAGCAGTCTTCAGTGTCTCATACAAAAACCTTCCCAGTCTACCCACTTCATACTCAGTGCAACAGCACATCATAGGTTGTAAAGTTTTACATATCAGAACATCAAGGTGGTTGACTGTGTTAAAAAATGGAGTTCCAAGGGAATGAAGAGTGTGTACGAACATGGCACAATAAACAGCATCCGGCATACTGACAGTACAGCGTGGAAAAATACAGCGTTGAAGGAACTCCATGTTAATCTTTAAAGTATCGGGGCAGGAACTCAACCATTTATCTTTTTCCCGAGCAAGCCGTCTACGAACAGATGCCACATGGTCTTCATGCTTTTCGAATTCGCTAGTGAGTCGATCTCGAGATTCTTGAATTCTTTCCTTGTCTTTCTTCCTTTTAGTAATTGCTGAATTAGAATTATCAGAAAGTTCTTCTAGAGCTTTAAGAGCAGCATGCTGCTTTGAGATTTCAGACTCGTAACGGTTTCGAGGAACATAAAGATCATAGAGTGTAAGACCCCAAAAGGTAGCATATAAATCAGGAGAGAGGCTATTCCAGGCTTTTGCAGGCAACATTGATCTAACAGTATCAAGAAGATCAGCCCACCTGCATAGAATGATAACGAATTTAGAAAGCACAAAATACCAGCCAGTAAGGATATATGAGTAATAAATGTAAGAGAACCTCAAAAATTATAAAATCTGGGCGCCAGAAAAAAGATATCACAGCATACAACAGAAAAAATTATGTAGATCTGAATATCTAAACTTTTACAAATATCAAAAATTTCAAACCAAGCTTGTAAAGTAATAAAAATAAGCAGAGGAAAATGAAAAGGACTAGTACATAATAGGCTTCCGAGGAGGACTGAGATCCAGAACCAACTTTCCATATGAGTCAGCAGGCTCAGACTCTTTCTCGACACTAGAGATATTTGTTGCTGCATTGCAATCTATAGGCCAGAAGGCATCAGAACTATTCTGACACCTGAATAGCCTCATCACAGGTCGATAAATCAGAAAGGCAACCTAAATCAGGAATCAGAAAACACCAAATCATGAAAACGTATAAAATACTGTATCTAAAGACTCCAAACCATGTACAGAAGGTGCTCAAGTACTGTAGCAACTTGATCAAATCTATAAGAACAAGAAAGGGATAAGGGATTCGAAAAAAACCCAAGATAGAGATGGTGAAAACCTCAGGATCAAGATGGTATAGGTGTATGAGATCATCAAGAGAAGGAATCAACTGAGCATAAGCTGCTGTAGGCAACAGTGCACTACACAGAAATTCCACATACTGAAGAAGGGTTCCGTGGCATCTATCAAACTGCTCACTAACCATCTTAATGTGAAGCACATCCGCATTTATGACAACCCTGCAGAACATAACACAATAAGCTTAAATTTTAAAAAGTACTCAACTTGAATTAACACGCTTCTTATTGCAATTGACTGGAGCATAAAAAATGGTATCCCAACTCCACAGTTCTTGGTAAACATGCCACAAATCAGCAAGGTTTACTTTTCCACATCATTCAAGCACACATCAAAACCCAGAAAATTAAAAAAAAAAAAAAGTAACCTAAAAGTTTGTGCCTAAGATATTTCCTGCCACATCTTCCAACAAGTGTCAACATAAATAAACTTCCAATGTTTGCTGAATACAGCTGTTAGTATTTTCAAATAGTTTATGATGTATTATTTCAAAAGGCTTTTAGAAGAAGAAAATTGAACAGCTTACAGAGAACGGTGTTGAGCAATAAGTAGCAGAAGAGGAACTGCCAACTTCAGGTCATCCTTTGGAAGCAATGCGTCCCTTAGCCTGTTAGTGGATTTGATCAATGCCTGCAACAATGGTTGAATGTTAATCTCTACAAACTTCCAACACAAACAGAAAAATCAAAAGATGTGTTGGTCTAGATTTGGAACATGTCCCACAACAATGCCAAGGCATAGTTTTACTTGTCGAATTGTGCACGAAAAAATGTAATGTGCATTATATCGAATGCATCTAAATTTTCAAAACCTGAATCCATGATAACTAGCAACAGAACTATATAATGTAAGTTTCATCGCCATGACAAGTATCATGTATCCATTCCTTCAATCTAAAATGGGAAATTGATGCACAAATATATATATATATATATATATATATATCATGTAAGTTCTACGGACATTTTATCCTATAAATTGGTGGCTGGTCACCGGTGGTTGGGTAATGAATGAGTGCGATATATAAAAAAGAGAGAAAGCTGACATAAAGACGTACTTATATGACAAGTAATGGTAAAANTATAAATTGGTGGCTGGTCACCGGTGGTTGGGTAATGAATGAGTGCAATAAATAAAAAAGAGAGAAAGCTGACATAAAGACGTACTTATATGACAAGTAATGGTAAAAAAGCTTTTTTTAAACATTTAATTACACAGCCATTGGATGAATCCAATGGTATTCGTTTAATGCGCGGATGGAATTAGAAACAACAACAGCAGGTGCTTGAACAGGACTGTATATATGTATATATATATTCGTCTTCCGGTACATGAAATTTTACTTCAGTTCAGTGAATTCATTAATAGTGAGCACTTAAAACATCAAGAATTGGTGAAGTTTAAAAGTTAAAAACAGGAAATTCATACATGAGATAAATCCACTTGAAATTTGTAGCATTTTTGCATTTTAAGAACAGATTTACAAGTTCCAAGTTTTCAATATATACCCTCCCCAGCAAATGACCATATAGAGAATCAAAAAGGAAAAGACAGACTCTAATTTTTATATCCTTCAAACTCTGATTGTCCTAGGCTTCTTTTAAAAAAAAATTGTTGTTGTACAAAATAAGAGACTCGTCAATATCAGTAACATTATGTTTTACCAACAAAACAGGTCATGTCAGATTCATTTTGACATGAATCATCTGATATTAACACTAATAGGTCATTTCTAGTTTAGCATAATTTCATACAACTGAATGTTGAGAGAGAGAGAGTACAAAACAGGAAAGTTGTTCCTGAGTTACTAGTAGCTGACTTTTTCAGGTAGTAGATGGTCTCATTTCATGCATGCCAATAATCTTTCAGTGGCAAATCACTTGACTTATGTTTCGGCATGATCACCCTTTTTTGAATGGGGCAAATTACAGATTACCTCCCGTGGTTTAACCCAGCTACATTTTGCCTGTGTATACTCAAAACCTGTACATAACCCTTTTTGGTTTAGGACTAAAGTACAATAACTAAAGGAGTTAACTATTTAGTACAAAAGGACAATAATACCTTTCATCTTTTTTTAAACCTACAGGGGAGTTGTGTAGGTTTTTAAACTATCAAGAGGCAATATGTTACTAGGTCAAACTTTACGGGGGTAATCCATAGTTTCCCCTTCTGGATTTCAAAGGTGAAAATACATTGAAGTTATCAATTCAACTGCACCACTGACACAAGCGTGCACCGCAGTTAAGCAACACAAGGTAAGAATTATATTAACTGTAAAATTATATCTTCATCATTAAACACATTATGGTGGATATTGGATGCTGTACAAAAATAAAAAATAATACAAATTAGAACAATGTTAATAATGGGTTTCAGTAGAAGTAATCGCTAGAGCTAACAAACATAAGACTGCGAACCTAAATCCCAAGGTAGTCGTATCATGTAAAAATGCAAATCTTTAGGCCTGCACGCAATCTAACCCCCAGCTCTTCCAGCACACTCAACTCATAGTGATTTGGGACCAAACCATGTAAAAACCTTTGAGTTGCTTTTTTATTAGGATCCAAAACCTAAAATGCAGACTGATGTCAACCTAAACAATTTGATTCATAAACAATAAATCATGAACCACAGAAGCTGATTATATTTGTCAGAATCAATAACATAAGAGCTGATTATTTTCTTGAGAGATGTTGTACTTCACACAAATGTCATATTTCAGAGAACTTCAGAATCGAGGATAGATTATAGAATATGCTTAAACTTTCTGAGGCACCTTATTGTTTCGAGTAATCCCAAATGAAGTAGCCTGATAACGAAGAGTCTCACTTCCAGCCATGGCATCCAATTGCTCCTCAGTCATGTTCTCCGTGTACTGGACATTTGCCATCTGCTGAATAAGTTCCTGTACCAATCATGGTGCTTTACATCACTGGCCTTGTGCCAAAAGGTATGTCACAATTTGTACAATTAAATTGCAAATGTACCTGCAGGAGAACAAGCTCAATGCCATTCCCCCTTTTCAACTGATTTACAAGATACTGGAATAGACCCCTAAGTTCCATGGATGGGTATTTCTTACACCTGCAAACAATGTGAATGGCTTTCAGAAGACTTCGACGAAGTGATCACAGTTAGTTTGACTCGTTATAGGTTTCATTCCCGTTTTGTCTTTCAAAGCAAGTATACTACACCCTTAAATGCAGATGTAAGTGCTCAACTAAAAGGGAATCATCCAAGACAAACCATTAATAAAGCTTTCACAACATGAGTCATCCCACTGATCAACTTATACAAAAATATCTGATGCCACCAACATGTAGCAAAAGGCAACCGCGGGGGGGGAGGGGGGGGGGGGAAAGTTAAGCAAGAATTTCAAGGAAAAATTTTCGCCAGATCAACTACCACATGTGAATGCTAACACACGTAGATCTTACAATTGTTTGAAAAACCAAACAGCTACATAAATGAATAAGTAAAACAAATGCATAAAAAGAAGAAAAAAAACAACATAAGGATCTCCTTCTCCAGCTAATGTGCAAGCCCCTGCAAATTTTCAAATAGTGAGTCGTTGATGGGGGACCATGGCAATTTCAGAAAATTGTAAATATGAAGTTCCATAAAGGGGAGTAAATAAAAGTCTGAGAAACTCAGGGTTTGCCACATAATCAGGATATTAATTTAGTATTATTTCTAAGAGATGCAGACTTGACGAAAATAAGTAGCCCCAATGCATCTAAACATATGACATCAATACACTGCCAGCACTTTATTTCTTCAGCCTTCCCCTTCAATATTCTGATTTCTCAGATTCCTGTCACAGACAGACTCATGGATGATATGACATAGTTAAATATGGTCAAGAGATGAGATTTCTTGTTAAGGGTAGTATTTGATACAAGAAACACAGAAGAAAAGGGGAAATCATTGGTGGTTATAGCACAAGCTAGCATTATCAACAAGTTTCATTCTACCCATTATTTTAACTAACTTGCGATCAATGTGGTCTCCATTAACCTAGAACAAGAATATGCCAGCATATATACTGGGTTCAGCCAAAAATGGGAGTTCAGTTAACATGTACACCAAACTTACAATCAATGTGACAATTGGATAAGAGGGTTCCACGGTACAATTACAAGAAGGGATCAACCTAGCACCACACAATTCTCCACTGCGAGGGAATTACTTTTGCTCAATCATCCGCAGAGGATAAACAGGATGATTGTAAGTATTAAGAGCAGGTGAATGAAGTGCGAGAAACTCTAAAAAGAAGTGTGATCAACGTGAGCCAACAAAAATCAAAGCAAACTTCTATCATATCATAAGGGAACACAATTGTTGGACAATCAAGATGCAACATGTTTATAAGAGAATTTTTACAAGTGGATACATCTGTTTTTATTTTACTTTACTTCAATTCAACAACATGCATCGCATGGCCCTTGCAACTAGTACACTCATGACAATGGTACAAAAATTAACCGACCTTTAGAAAAGCATTAACAAGTCAATGAACCCCATTTCTCATCCATTAGTTCTCTTTTAATGCATTACTCATGTAACTCCGCTACTCAGAAGTAAAAATTTTGTTAAAATGACAGGGAGAGACAATCACGCCTTAAATGCATTACAGGAGGTAAAAGTCAAACAAAGTTCATTATAAGCAACATCTTCTATGATTAAAAGATAGAATAATGCACTTATCTTTCCCTCTTATGAATCTGTCTAACTATATGCACAGCTTAGGGATCTAGCAATCCTTAGCCAAATAGAACCTAGGTAAGCGCTCATCTATCAGTTGACTCTTGTAAAAACCCTTCAAGCCCGTTAGTTTAGTGGCATACAAGAGCAAATCTCAAAGGTGTAAGCCTTAATAATCCTTATATAAAATATACAACCCAGGTAAAAAACATATGCATCCAAGAAGAAACAAACGAACAAATAATGAGCTTCTACACATTCCCCTAATCTTTACAAATGCCGAAAAGACTAGTAACAATACTGTACAAAGCAAAATGTGACAAGAGCAAGGAATTCCTCTCCCCCCCCCCCCAAAAAAAAAAAAAAAAAAAAAAAAAAAAAATTAATATTAACC